AAACAATTTCTAGAGGCCTTAGAGAAGTGGTTTATAGAAGAATGCTTAAAATACCTTGGACAGCCAGAAAGAGCAACCAAGAGGTTTTGAAAGAGGCTGGAGCCCGAAGACAACTTATCACATACATCAGAAGGAGACAGTCATCATTTTTTGGCCATGTTATGAGAAGAGGGAAAATAGAACATGTGACCACTGGAAAGATCTATGAAAAAAAGGGATAGAGGAAGAGAACGAGAGAAGATTCTTGATAGTCTTGTTGCATGTCATTGAGCTGTGTCAGCACACGAACTGATACATGCTGCAGGAGATCGCAGATTGTAGCGAGGCATAATCGCCCATGCCAGTCGGCAAAGCACCTGATGATGATGATGATGATTCACTATTCGTATTCTATTCGGCCGAATAGTTGGTCCAGCTATTCGTATTCGGCCGAATAGTGAAAATCACTATTCGGTACAGCCCTACATTTTAGTGACAGGTGTATATGAAAAGCTAATTTAATGATATCATATATTTTCACGTGGGAACTTACCGATCATTATCATCATATGCCCTGCCAACAGGCGTAGCCACTTATGCGTCTCCACAGATCACGATCCCTGGTTGCATGAAACAGCTCTCTTGACGATATCCCTCCATGCCATCGTTTCAGCCTATTCTGCATCATCTTTCTTGGTCTGCCTCTACCGTTTTGTTCCACAGATCTTTCTAGTTGTCACGATGTTCTCCAGTGGCTCTCTTCTCATTATGTGGCCAAAGAACAGTGTTTGTCTCTTTCTTATTGTAAAGATCTAATTTATTAGCTTCTTTCAAGCAATCGTTGTTAGTTACCCTGGCCGTCCTAGGTATTCGTAACATTCGTCTCAGAAACCACATCTCTGTTGCTTCCAAATTTATCTTAATTTATTCACTGACATTCCAAGATTCGCTGTCATACAGCAGAACAGATTCTATGTAACATTTTAGCACCCTCTTTTTGACATTAAATGAAAGCGATTTATCGCGTAAGATATATTTCATTGTCTGAAATGCAGCCTTCGCTTGACCTATTCTGCTTTTAATCTCTGTCAAACATTTTCTGTCTGATGATAAAATTGTTCCCAGATATTTGAATTTGTTGACTTGGTTAAGTCTGTTTACTTCAATTGAGATATCACAACGTGCAATTATCTTCTTCTTTGATATAACCATTACTTCCGTTTTCCTAATATTAAATGAAAGTCCTTTCTTAGCATTCTCCATCCCCACAATATCCAGCAGTTGTAAATCAGTTACATTTTCTGCTATCAAAACTATCGTCCGCATAAGGCAAATTGTTGATATTGATTGTGTCCTCCAACTCTTACTCCTGCATTCTCTTTAATTTCACTTAAAATTGTTTCACTATATGGAGAGAAAGGGTATGGGGATAAGACACATCCCTGACTTACTGCTTGTTTTATCTGTTCAAAAGTACCCAATCTGTTTCCCACTTTAATTGTTGCTACTTGGTTCCAGTAAACGTTTTTCATTATTCTGAAATATTTACCGTCTAAACTGATGTATTCTAACATTTTTATCATCTCCTCATGTTTAACTTTGTCAAATGCTTTGGTATAATCTATAAAGCACAAAAATAGGTCCTTTTGTATGTCCATTGATTTTTCTATCAGTATTCGTGATATCAGTCCAAATTTCAAAACAACTCCTAAATAAAACAGAAACTTCTGAAATTAAATATTATAGAATATTTCTTAGAATAGCATGCATCCAGAAAGGGGGGGGGGGCAGTAATAATTTGGGACCGGTATTCGGAAAAGTGTCACTTATTTTAATAACGCTTCCTCGGCTACTCTCATTTTTCTTTTTTAGTCTGTCGTCCATTTAGACATACAGTAGTAAGATTTACTTTCAGCTGTTAAAAAATAAAAAATAAAAATAAAAACTTTAGCATGTGATACACACACAAAAACTATAATTGTAAGTCCTAATACCACTACTATAAAGACAATTATATGCTGCGTGTTGTAGAGTCGTAAAAATAAGACTATCTGTATTTCTGCGCCGACAACGATTGTGATATTAACCATTTTAGACACCTGCGCGTTCTATTTTTCTTTTCTTTTCCATTTCGCCAGACTAAGCCACAGCAAAGCGTAGTGGGTACTGCTTGTATAATATAACATAATATAAGGTAATATGTTTAATTATGTTAGGAATCCAAATCTCAACACTCGAGACATTTTAATAAGAGCCCATGGTGAGCAGCTTGTGAAGAGTTCCAGTGCCGACAGTGCTAGTAAAAGTTCGACTATATTGATATGTCTGTCTTGCCTTTTCTCTGAGTTTAGAGTGTCGTCTAGATCACCTGGTCCCTTCAGTGCCTATGATTTCCACACTACGATGATCTGTCTATTCGTGTTTCTTCGTTGTTCACTTAACGCTCCAAAAGGGCCAGACCACATCTAGCTTGTCATATATCAATTCGCCACTCAGTGGTGCAGCGCCAAGCAGTTGTTTTTTCCTGTTTCCCAACACATAGGTACTTAACACAGAAAAGAGGCACAGGAGGCTAATACTTGCGACTACTTGTTACTCTTACAACATACGCTGAGCTAAGATTCAGGAGCCGACATCACGGTAATTAGGGCAAATCCAAAAACGCCCTACCCCACCCTTTTTCTCTTTCAGCATCTTCAACTGTCAGTGTTTATTATATACTAGCTGTACCGGGACACGCGTTTCTGTGGCATAGTTTGGCTAAATGGAAATAAAAGAAAATAGAAATCGCACGTGTCTAATACAAATCATTGTCTGCTCAGATATAGAGATAGTCTTTGATCCCCGCCCCCCCCCCCTCACCACCACAACTAAATCCACCTACTACTCTCTCCCTCATCAAAGGTTTTTGGAAAAGAAAGACAAAGGAAACCGCACGTGTCTAATATAGTTGATGTCGCAATCATTCTCTGCACAGATATAGAGATAGTCTGGTTTTCCAACTTTAGAATACGCACCTTATAATTCCTTTTATTAGTGGTCGTTTAAATGGTGTTATTAGCACAGGAACAAAAACGGTTATCTGGTTATCACATGCTAAAGCTGTTTGTATTTTTATAGGAGAATTAAAGCTACAACTGTACTTGTAAATAACAAAGTAAGTCGCAAAAAATAGAAAAGCGGAGCTAGCGTTAGTAAAATATAAACAAATTAGGTAATGAGAACTTGAAAATCACTTGTAAAGCTCTTTAAGTTCTCTTAAATTTAAGTCATTACCCCCTCCCCTCCCCTCTTCCACCGACTACTGCTCTCTCCCTATTTGAAATATTTGAAAATCATTACCTGGCAATATTTTTTTGTTGCTGTAACTGACATTGACATCCCTGTCCATCCAAACTAAAATGGGGAGCAGGAATTGTAATAGGTAGTGAATAGGGCTAGTGTAATATTTACCACATCATGCTTCAAGTACCAGTACAACTACTACCACGATCACCACCACAGTAGCTAAAATAATGTCACTGCTATCTTTGTTACTATCGGAGTAGACAGAGAGTTGTGAGCCAGAAGATTTGGTTCCGCATTTCTAGTGCTGTCGCCACAGACTGGTCAGGTTAGGAGGTATAATTTCGCTTCCCGACAGAAGAACGCCATAACCTTACCGGCGGTCTTCACATGAGAGCACTACGGTGTAACAGCCCAACCACAACTACTACTGCTGCTGCTACTTTAAGTGGGTAAAGCAGTAACTGTGACTTAAAGCTCTCTCAGTTAACAGTTTGCCCCCCCCCCCCCCCCCAACACCCCCCAAATTCACCGACAACTCTTTCCCTCATTGAAGTAGTTGGGAGGGAAAAAAAAACACTTGAAAAGCAAATGAAAACAGGAAAAAACAACACCATAATTAGGAAATGAACGCTATGGTAAACAGCACAGCTTAAAATTCCAACGCAGATGAAATAACTAAATCTAAATGAAAATAAATGGAAAGCTATGAAATTTCAGCGTAACCATGCAATCGGAAAGTTTAAAAATGCAATCATTAGTAAGCGAAATGGTCAAATTTAATTATCAAATGGTTTACCCATTTACTTGTCTTTTTTTTTTTTTTTTTTTTTTTTTTTTTTTTTTTTTTTTTAGTATTAAAGGCAACATGGCTAGTGCTATTACCACGGCAGAGCAGATGAGGATATTTTTTTTATTCCGGGGTGAAAAAAAATCTAACTGCTGCGGATTCGAACCCTGGTCTCCATCACAGGAACCCAGTGTTCTAACCATTTGACCAAGCAGCCACTTCATCGGAGTAACGAAAAGAGAACTAAACTATGAGAGATGTGTATTCCTACTACTATGTCCCGATTATAACACAACTCAAAACCGCAGGCAATTGTTTTCTCATAGACAGATATTCCAGATATATTAATGAAACGGCACAACAATAGAAATCGCAATAGAAATCGCAATTGTCCTTGATGCCCCCCCCCCCCCCCCCCCCCCCCCCCCCCCCCCCCCCGAAGGTTGTTAGAAAAAAAAAGAAAATAGAAATCGTGTTAAATATGGTTATTGTGGCAATCACTGCCTACACAAATATAGAGATAGTCTTGTTTGCTGTACCACGACCTACTCTTTGTATTAGAGAAGGCGTTGGCTGCACGTAACTCGCCGGCGAATGGCGGAAGTCTTGAGTTCTGACTACGGCGCATGCGCAATTACTAACGTGGCTATAATTAGAAATCACTAAAATTATAAATATTAGTTTCTAATATTATGGCTTAAATTGTGTTCACCTATCTCTAACAGTGACAGGTTGAATTTCAAACCATGATGGTTCAACATCCGGTATCAAAACAAACATATCCTGAAAATTTCAGCTAAATCGGTTTAGTAGTTTCCGAGTCTATAAGGGGCAAACAAACACACAAACATTGATTTTTATGTATATAGATTATATTATGTCTTAATATATTATGTCATATTATATTACATTTTTAACCTGTATATTAAAATATTTTCTTTTTCAGGTATCGGCTTATAGTTCACCCCTTTAAATCTAGATTACCTGCAGGATTATGTATCATTGCTATATGGGTAGGGGCTGCATGTGTCGTCCTACCATATGCTATATACATCAAATACATCGATCTGGGAGCAATGCTAGGTAAACTTAGCTGTGAGACAGTTGAGAGACTTACATCGTTTTCATTAGTGTGTGATTGAGAATATAGCTGGTAATTAAGCAACAATAAATAAATAAAACAAATGAATAAAAGTCTAAAGAAAACATTAACTGACAACAAAATATTAGACGAAGAAGAAGAAGAAGAAGAAGAAGAAGAAGAAGAAGAAGAAGAAGAAGAAGAAGAAGAAGAAGAAGAAGAAGAAGAAGAAGAAGAAGAAGAAGAGAGAAAAAAAGATGAAAGAAAGAAAGAAAGAAAGAAAGAAAGAAAGAAAGAAAGAAAGAAAGAAAGAAAGAAAGAAAGAAAGAAAGAAAGAAAGAAAGAAAGAAAAGAAAGAAAGAAAGAAAGAAAAGAAAGAAGAAAGAAAGAAAGAAAGAAAGAAAGAAAGAAAGAAAGAGAAAAGAAAGAAAGAAAGAAAGAAGAAAGAAAGAAAGAAAGAAAGAAAAGAAAGAAAGAAGAAAGAAAGAAAGAAAAAGAAAGAAAGAAAAAGAAAGAAAAGAAAGAAAGAAAGAAAGAAAAGAAAGAAAGAAAGAAAGAAAAAGAAAGAAAGAAAGAAAGAAAGAAAGAAAGAAAGAAAGAAAAAAAGAAAGAAAGAAAGAAAGAAAGAAAGAATAGAAGAAAAAGAAGAAGAAGAAGAAGAAGAAGAAGAAGAAGAAGAAGAAGAAGAAGAAGAAGAAGAAGAAGAAGAAGAAGAAGAAGAAGAAGAAGAAGAAGAAGAAGAAGAAGAAGAAGAAGAAGAAGAAGAAGAAGAAGAAGAAGAAGAAGAAGAAGAAGAAGAAGAAGAAGAAGAAGAAGAAAGGAGAAGAGAAGAAAAAGCAGTAGAAGGAGGAGGGGAAGAGGAGGAGGAGAAAAAGATAACAGAAGGAAGAAAGAATGAGAGTGAGAGGAGAAGGATGCGGAATAGTAGGTGGTGGAAGTAGATGTTTTGAGGGATATTTTATTGAAATATTCCAGTCATAAGTTCTCATTCTGAGAGTCGCTGATAATCGGGGACGAATTTCCACATTAACATAAATAAGTTTGTTTACCAGCCTGTTTATTTTGCTTTCAAATACTTATTTAGGAAGACTAAATTGACACAACCTACCTGGTCGACCCAGACCAGTACTAGGAAATATTCTTCAAACTAAAGGCGAGGAAGGTATTGTTAATCGCCTCGCCCATTAGGTGCAGACTAGTTTGTAAAAATATATGGTTGTGATAATATGTACATTACGATTCTGTTACAGTGTGTCAATACATCATTCCTTTGTGGCAGATTTTGAATAATGTGCAAAACTGCATATTAAACTGCACTTGATAGAGTCAATCACCCTAGATAAATTATTTTCCTGAATGTAAGGAAATGTACTCCTTATGCCTTAAATATGGTAGCACAAGTAGCACTTATAGAGAGACAAGTGCACCAGCCTTTTCCTGACTTTCAGTGATTGTCATTGATCTTGAGAAATTTTAACTGTTCATAATTATTTTTGAATATGACATTTGGTAACTGAAACATAATTGTTGCAAAAAAAATATGAAATTCTGTGTAGTTTTAATACCAATTTACATTTATTTTTCTCTCATGTTATTTCACTTTTAACGTATGCCAGTGAAAATTTTGAGAACCACAAAAGACATGGAGCTAAATTTAAATGCATTCAAAATCAAATGCCTGGGGGGGGGGGGGGGGGGGATTCTGGACCTTTATGGGGATGAATTTAAGAAAGCTGAAGAAATAAGATAAATGTCTGATCAACCACGTGTATCAAGAGTTAGTTATACAGGAAGAGAAGATGGCGCTATATTAGGCACATTCTGAGATGGAACCAGCAGAGAGTCATTAGACAGGAAATATTAAATAAACGGCATAAGTAAGCCAGAACACCTAGAAGAAACCCTTTATCGAAGGTCGATGACAGGGATCAAAGGGCCTCTATTGGATTCCATCCATGATATTGAATTGATTACACAGGATAGAACCCATAAGAGGAATAGACTGCGAGCCCTATGTGACATTTAATGGTACAACAAGGCAATCAATGAGTGGATGAAAATATATAGCCTTTGTGTATGTGTGTGTGTGTGTGTGTGTGTGTGTGTGCGTGTGTGTGAGAGAGATTTATGTTTCTCAAGTATGTTTATACCTTTATTTTATTTTGTTTAGGTGACAGATTTATTGGTGTGGGAATATGCTACGTTTTTGTGGAGAAGAGAATTGAAGAGTACATTCGAGCCATGTTTGTTATTCTCTACGCCATGCCACTTGCTGTCATTGCTTTGCTGTATGTTCGTATTTCTGCCGAAATAAAGACCAAAGAGACTGTTTTTATATCTGTTCACTATGCTCAAAACCCAGATCTGGGAGACAACTGCAATCGCTTCTCCAGGGGCAACATATCGAATACTTGGTTTTCAACAAATCATAATCAGGAACATCCTGTAAGCGGCGGCCAGGCTAACCCTCATTCCAACGCCTCATCGGGCGTTACCAGCAGTGCGGTTTCACAAGAAAAAGCAGACTGTATGTTTCGTCAGCAGTTGCAGTCACAATATCAGCGCTATTGTCACGGTCACCGGGGTGAGATCAATAGGATCCACTCATGTAACAGATACACAAGTCACGGCAATGTCAGGTCCTATAATGAACGATCCACACAGGACAGTGATGACGATCTGGATATTGCTAAAGAAAAGAGAACACAAAACTATCTCATTACCATGACAACATTGTTTGCAGCATGTTGGTGTCCACTGCATATTCTCATACTCGTCAATTATTTTGTTCATGAGAACGAAATTAATATGAGTCACTATGACATTACATATATTCTTTTCACTTGGTTTGGATTCCTGTCGACTTGCAGCACTCCAGTTTTATTTGCATCTTGGTTCATGTCTGATGCCACAAAAGACAGACTCAGAGGTTATTTCCGATTTAGCAACAGACGACGCTCATCGGTGACTACTCAGGTAGGTATATTTTCATTATGTAGGTAGTAAATCCAACGAATTGAAAGAAAATGTCATGCTTCACACCAATGTTGTCATGTATTCTCTTCAGTTGTATTTTTCTTTGTCTGTAGATTTGACTTTAGTGCCCATTTGTTTCAGAAGTGCGCTTTCATGTTTTGTTACAAAGAAGCCTTTATTATTATTTGTATTACATACAGTGCGTTTCAAAACTCATGCCCACAATTTTTTTTAATGTCTCCACAATTCTATGCGAATCAATAGGAATTGTTTGCGGGTGCCTTTAGATTCCACATGTCCTTATGATTTTATAATTTACAGGTGCCCAGGTTCTGCAGTTTTCCTAAAGAGCTGAATTTCTTTGATCTTTGACTAATAATTTGTGTCCTTAAAAATAGTATATAGAGTAACTGACACAAGCGTGGAGAATATTTGGAAATAAGCTCGGATGTTCGGCAATCCGTGTTGATATTTGGAAGTAAGTTCACATGTTCAGCATCTGTGTTGATATTTAGAAGTAAGTTGACATGTTCAGCAATCTGTGTTGATATTTGGAAGCAAGTTCACATGTTCAGCAATCCGTGTTGATATTTGGAAGTAAGTTCACATGTTCAGCAATCCGTGTTGATATTTGGAAGTAAGTTCACATGTTCAGCAATCCGTGTTGATATTTGGAAGTAAGTTCACATGTTCAGCAATCCGTGTTGATATTTGGAAGTAAGTTCACATGTTCAGCAATCCGTGTTGATATTTAGAAGTAAGTTGACATGTTCAGCAATCCGTGTTGATATTTGGACATAAGTTCAGATGTTCAGCAATCCGTGTAGATATTTAGAAATAAGTTAAAATGTTCAGCATCTGTGTTGATATTTGGAAGTAAGATCACACGTTCAGCAATCCGTGTTGATATTTGAAGTAAGTTCAAATGTTCAGCAATCCGTGTTGATATTTGGAAGCAAGTTCACATGTTCAGCAATCCGTGTTGATATTTGGAAGTAAGTTCACATGTTCAGCAATCCGTGTTGATATTTGGAAGTAAGTTCACATGTTCAGCAATCCGTGTTGATATTTGGAAGTAAGTTCACATGTTCAGCAATCCGTGTTGATATTTGGAAGTAAGTTCACATGTTCAGCAATCCGTGTTGATATTTGGAAGTAAGTTCACATGTTCAGCAATCCGTGTTGATATTTGGAAGTAAGTTCACATGTTCAGCAATCCGTGTTGATTATTTGACAGCCTTTTCCCCTCTGCTGCTCACGGGAGACCTATGCTAAAGGCGACCACGTCAGAGTAAAACGCCTATGAAACGCGAGCAATCTGATGTTTTGTAAAGTTCTAATTACTCAGTTTACTCACGTAACTGTAAGCATGCTGATTGTTTGCTTTGGATTAGTGTGTGTTTTTCATCAATCGCAACAACAACAAAGGAAAAATGTATACAACGTTTTTAGAACAGATAGAAACTTTGCGTCACAAAATTTAATTACAGCAGTTTGGTTTCAGAGAAGGTAAAATCTGGCGTCTTTTCTCAAGTTAAATGTTAAACTGAAAATCGACATCACGGCACTCAGGACACCCTCCATAAGAGCTCCGTCTCTATCTTTAGCAGGAAACGAAGAGTTGCAATTCCGATGGCACCAGTAACTGTCTGATTGTATATGCGTCTCGCTCTTCGTCTGAGTGTTGAACGTCTACCAGATCCCCTGGTAACTCATCGCAGCGCCATCCTCCTCAGACTGTAATGATCTTTCATTAGTTTACCACCAAGTGGTGCAGAGCCAGAGCCTGCCACTCTGCACGGAGCATCCCTGTCTCCACCTTTTTCAACATGCTCTGTGATTCAGTTACAATCACGGCATGTGCCTAAAGCTGATTCTCAAGCCAGCGGAAGGCAACAGTGACTGCCTTTGCCTCCATTCTCAAACTAAACGTTGTGATATCATATGCCTGGCTTTGTTGCACTAAACGACGTCCATTTGCTTTTGCTATGAACGCCCATGCACTTCGTCTGCCTCTCAACACAGAGCCATCTGTATATACAATCACATCACTTAGGCGAGAATTGTCATGAATCATTTGTTGAACTTCTGATTCTGCAGCATCAGCTGGATAATCTCTGCACTCACGACCTTAAAGTGATTAGAACCCTACACAAGTCTGAAACTTGCTTGGACACCTTGACCCACTCCTCTCCTCGACCAAATTTATCAAGCCTGCACAGATGTCCAATTGTGTCTTCTGCTTGCGCCATCCAAGACCTTCCTCTTGTCAGTGACCGTTAGCTCTACCTAGTATAATTCGTGAGAAAACTGTACAACTGAAATATGATATCGACAACTGAAGGATACGCTGGTGTCAGAATGTTTCAGAGTCAGTATTGCAGGAAAGTTTGCTTCCCTGATTCCCAACATGGAAAGTTCAGTAACCCCAATAAATGAATTCACATTAATAATTAATAAGCCATCAGGATAAATTATTGAGATACGCCAAAAACCAGAACAACCATGTGTGACCAACGAGGGTGCCTCAAGAAAGGCGGTCAGAATCATCAAATAGCAGACACGTATAGGGAGATAAATATTCAGATTAGAAAAGACATGCGTGAGGCATAAGAAAGTTGGATAGAAAGCAAATGTGTAAAAATAGAAGAATGTTACACATTAAATATGAATAAGAAAGCTTTCGCTTTTATATAAAGCATTAACAGAAAGAGAACATCAAGAAATAATGCCAATTTATACACAGAGGGTAATATACTCATAGAAAGTAATGCCATCCTAAATAAATGGTCAGAATACTGTTCGAGATTGTATAACAAACAAATAGCAACACCGCCATCCTCGAAAATAACCGAGCACAGAAAGATGGCAGCTTCGCAGTACCCCGGGACGAAGTAGAACTTGCCATCATAACTCTGGAAAACCAAACTTGAAAAGTGGAGTGCATTGATAACATCGCAGCTGAGATCCTTAAAAAGTGAGAGAAGACGTTGTTAATATCCTCACAGTATCAGATCATACAAATGTATGTCACCCCAGGAAATCCCTGCTCCACGTACACCTAAAAAGACTGAAGCCACAAGCAGAATGAATAATATTGGAGGAATAGGCGGTCTTTCGTGCTGGAAGAGGTACAGTTAAATAGATATATAATCTACCCGCAATTCTAGAGCGGCAGTCACTGTGGCGTAGCGGCTATACGCTTGCCTGCGGATCGGAGTTTCGTGGGTTCCCGTCCTAACGGAGTCAGACTTTTTTTTCTTAACCTTGGCTCCCAGGTCAACTCAGCCTTGAGTGGGTACCAGGTGCAGTCCTGGGAAGTAAAGGCAGCTGGCCCGAGTGACCAGTACGCCTAAATGTGTGAAAAAGGGTTCTTTACTTATCTTAAATAGTCAGAGCAGTACCAAAGCACCAAAAGCATCTGTAGCACGTGTTTATTAACTTAAAAAGGGCTATTGATAGGGTAGAGCATACAACACTCTGGGATACTACGAAAACTCACAGTTTGCGTCATGATTAAAATAACGAACGAACAAACAAACTTTATTTTCAAAGGGTAACAAACTGGGCACGCAGACCCATCTTGCATTCGACCCTTTCGAGCACTCATCTTTCTGACTGCAATTGCATGTAATCAAAAATGTATGTTATGTTTTTATTAAAATACTAGCTCTACCCATCCACGCGTTGCTGTGGCCCAGAATGGCAAACTATAAAAGAAAGAAAATCGAAAGCGTCCCTGTCTTATATGGTTAATATCAGTCATTGCATAGCTACAGATTGTATTCTAAACTGTATTTCGTATCTTTGTTTGTTGAAGCAGATGAAGGTTTCGCCCAAATATTTATATCATTCCGGAACTTTGATTGATGCCTTGTCTTGACTGATAACTAGTCCCATGTTTTTAGCCGCTGCATTAAAGAGAATCAGTGTTTTTAATGTCATCTGCAAAACCAAGTATTCTTTTAATTTCTTTTATAGTACAATCTTCATTCAATTTCGTTAAAATTTTCTCTAGGGCCAAGTTGAAAAGAAGTAAGGAATGAGCATGACCTTGCTTCAAACTAGATGTTATTTCGAAAGGGTCTAACTTTCAGTCCTAATATATTATAAGAAAGAGAATTCTTAAAAGCTTTATGAATCATATCAGATTATAAGTAAGTGATTCATGGACAGTTGGTACGTCAGTGAAATATTATTTGGAAGCTGCGGATATGTGGTTTTATGGACAAATGATAAGAACACCCTGGACAAATAAAAAGAGTAACGAAGATGTCTTGAAAGAAACTGTCTCACGAAGAAAACTGATTGCCCAGATCAGAAAGAGATAATCTACATTCTTTTGTCATGTGATAAGAAGGAGAACCCTAGAGTACATTGTGAAAGTTAGAAGGGACGATAAGCAGAGTGAGACCGAGAGAATGAATCTGGACAGTTTTACATCATAGTATGGGGGATAATATGTGTCAGAGATGACTAAAAGTACACGAGATAGAAGGTTGTGAACAGACATGACTACTAAAGTCACACGACTACCAAAGTCACACGGCACGGACTTTAAAAAGAAGATGAAATTATAGGTATCTTTCATACATAGTTTGGTCACGATGATTAACATCGTTGGTAATTCGGTCCCTTATAGCATTCCATATACTGTTTCTAAGTACACTATCATACTATGCCTTTTTTTTAAATCCCCAATGGCTGAACGCGGTGGAACTCTCCACGGCAGATACTCATCCACATGGTGGCCCTTTTTGTCATAGGGTGTTTATCACTTGTATGATGTCCTAGTGGGATAAAATGTACTACTACTAAATATGTACGTCTCTTGAGGTTAATATCTGATCTAAAGGTGATTTGTTATGTCGGAAACCCGCTTTGTTCTAGCCTGTTTAGCAGTACCGCCGAAAGTATCTTATCGCATATAGACAGTATTGATATTTCTCTATAATTTGCATATTTATACTCGTAAGTTTGGTACTAGGTTCAATTTCTTGACTTCCATTAATGTCTAAGTGCTATGCCTTTTGTATTCTTACTGGTATAGTCACCATAAAACCTTGTGAAGAATAGGTACAAGTGCCAACAGAATGCTGTACCACCTTTTCTGTTTGCATCCGACTGCCATCAGGGCAGAAATGATGGCCCTAATTTCCGAGTATTTTCTAGAGGGGGACGCTATCGATTACACAGATGGATCTGTGGTTAGCCACGTCAGACGCTTGTGGGTTTTTGCCACTCAGCTTGGAGTCGGAATTGTGAAGCAAGATTCTTGTGATTTCACCTTGGCTAAAAAAAAATAGTCTGACTGAAGACGCTAATCTTTATCCGTGCATGTTAAATATGTGAATCAAAGAGTTTGCTCGGGAAAATAGAGATGGGCTGGGTCCGAAGACAGTGGCTGGAATCTCTGAGGCCGTCAGGGCTAACGCAATCAGTTTTATATTCGTGCCAGAGCACACAGGTTTGCAAGGAAATGAGCAAGCTGCTGGGTTTGCAGGTAAAGCTACCGTGGAGACGGACGTGCTGATATACTGAATGTTCTGTGTGAAGTAAGACATCTGCTAGAACCAAATGATGCCTGTGAATCTGCAACCATGACCAGACAGCAAGAACAACATGTTAAAACAGGTGTGGCCAGACAAGAGCACTATTCAGGAAACCAAAGAATAATGAGAAACCAACACAGGATTTGTGTGTCATCAGCCGCTAAGCGTTGCGAGATTTACTGAAGTGGTCTGAGCACTTATGGACTGAATGGTTTGATTTTACATGAGGATAATCTGTCGACTAAGTAACATTATTTCAGTCTTCTTCTTCTTCGCGTTCACCGGCTGTAAAATTCGACGGAAAGTCCTGGTTGTCCGTCCACTTCTGGACTTTGGTCTTGTTCCAGAATGTGAAAATTGCGTATACATCCGTTTTACAGATCTGGTTGTTTGAACGCAGACTGTTGGTCCTCTGAGGAATTAGTCGCCTTTAGCGCTATGCTTGATAGGAAAGCAGTAGGTCTATTACCCCATCCCCAATGGGATCCCAGATGCCACAGGGGGGAATTGTTTTAGTAATGTATGTTCTGTCAATGAGGTCTACTCACATTTATGATTTCATGACTTGAAGTCCAGTTTCGCTTAGAGAGACTGAGTTATTGTTTGCATGAGTCCACAATATTCCACTTTGGTCTCTGGTGTAATGTAAATCATTACTAACTAGTCAATGCAGTGCCCACACTATACTTAACACTGCACACATAAATTGTGCCTTAGGAGGAAATCGATCCTGAAGTGAAAAGAAAGGGAGTTATTGTTAGCGACACTTTGTATTATATCAGTTGTCGTTTTAATCCTGGGCTTTGTTTTTTAACAGAGGCGACGCTGTCAGTCCAGGTTCTCAGAAGGATCACACAACAGACACTTTGACGAAGGAATAGCTATTGAATGCAGAAGTGCTGAGCGCTACGGTTGTGATTCTGTGTGACAGATCATGTTATGTTACATATTGAACTACCTTCGTTACTCTTACTGTATTCAATGTGCGTCACAAAAACATCAACCATGAATTCGAGCATAATTCTCTCTCTCTCTCTCTCTCTCTCTCTCTCTCTCTCTCTCTCTCTCTCTCTCTCTCTCTCTCTCTCTCACTCTCTCCCTCTCTTTCTCTCTCTCTCTCACACACACACACACATTCACACACACAGATACACACATATTACGCAGTCACTACAGTAATCTTGTCTTTACAATATGCCAACTGCACATGTGTGAATTCCTACTCCAGACAAGTTAAAGTGAAATATTAATGTTCACATACCTACACAATGTTTATCTGACCTCAGTCTTCAAGCTTAGCTTTTCTCAAAATAATGATTTAGAACTTGGATGAATTTGGCATAGTGCCATGTATAACTAACATGACTACAACTAGACGTTCCCTGGCTTATTTAGTCTGTTCAAGAGAGCATTCCGAAGTTTACAATCTGAACTCAATAACCGTTGGGCGTAAGTTGTTTAAATTTGGCATGCAGCATGTTAATAAACATGTCCTTGTTTGTTTACAAACATCGAGTTTTAATTTTGCCATTTATGCGGATTTAAAAAACAGACACCGGTTCAGAGAAAACGATGAACATGTTTACAGTAACCTAGATAAATTGAATAAGGGGAACTTTTCAAAACACCAACTGCACCCGTTTCATAAGCGTTTCACTGTGGTCACCCCAGGAAGAAGCCTCTTGTGATGAGCGGATGTTTCATTGAGACGGGAATAGGCTATCACAATATTCACTATGCATCGCTTCACATGTGAACTTATTTTAAAACACTCACCACACGACTGTCAGTTACTGTATATTCTATTTTTTATGGGTACAGAAATTATCAAACAAAAATCAAAGAAATTCGACGCCAAGAAAATAGTAGCCCCTGCGCAACTGTAAACTATAGAATCATAAGGACATGGAAAATCTAAGGTCAAATGCAACATTTGTTGTTGATTAATTCAAGAGTTTTCGAGATATTTGTTAAATTTTAACAGCATAGTTTTGAAACACGCTATTGTAGTAGCAGCCCCAGCAGCAGGAGTAGCAGTAGTTATTATAGTAGTTGTTTTGTGCTGATGTTGGTGCTGGTGCTGGTGTAAACCCTTTAGAGGAGAACTTTTTCCGGAATATGCTATCGTTAGCAGGATGTGGTGGGGGCAGTTTGACTGTAGCTCAGAAACGCAGTGTGTCACTATAGCAGTGTGTGCTCAAAAAATAAAAGCAGTGCTTACAGCTCGGTTCATGAGGTCTATCAAGTTTGAGCTCTTGTTCCTTCTCTTTAATAGTTAAACTGGGTTATGAGAATTTTTTTTATTTCTCATTGTTTGAAAAACAAATAAGTTAGGCAGAAAAAAAAAGTGAGAATACATGAACAACATTGTCATGGATATGGAAGCTAACCATCAGAACAACGAATCCAGGAAGTGTTTTTTTAAGAACTGAAGGCTGAAAAACGAGAGCGTCAACAAAGCCTTTATAGTTTAAAAGATCACAATAGGAACATAACAAATAATAATGAGGAAATATGTAACAGATGGAAGGAATACTTTGCTGAATTGTTGAATTGAGAAACTCCATTTAATATAGGATGAGATATTGGCATGTGAACCAAATATTCCTGATTTTGTAGAAGTACTGTTTGTCATAACTCGGCTTAAAAACAATAAAGCAACTGGTGTTGATGGAATTGCAACTGAACATATAAAAGAATGTGGTCATGCATTACATGTAAAGATATGTGAATTAATAAAACTGGTTTGAAAGACGGAGAAATTACCACATAAATGGAAAGTGTCTTTATAATTAAATTTTTTTTTTTAAAGGAGACAAATATAACTGTGAAAATTATGGTGGAATATCACAATTATCTACAAGCTATAAGATACTGTTAGCTGTACTGCTAAACAGGCTAAAACCATACGTCGAAGACATACTGGGAGATTGCCAAGCAGGTTTCCGACAGAACAGATCAACGATAGATCAGATATTCATTTTACGGTAAATAGTAGAGCAGAATTGGGAATAAGGAAGAGATGTATAAAAGCGTATTATAGTCTACATAGAAACAGTTTATGGAATGCTATAAAGGACTTTTGAATACCAAAGAAGTTAATTACAAGAGTATACTATAGGAGAATCTACAAGAATACTTGGATATGCTGATGACATTGACATCGTTGGAGAAAATGAACTAGAGACTGTTGAAACACTGACTCTCTTAAAAGAATCAGCTCAGAAAATAGGACTAGTTTTCAGTCAAAATAATACAGAATACATGAAAATAACGAGACAGAGAAAGGATATAAACTCCGGCCACACACAAGTCGATAATATGAAAATCAAACGAACGGAAACATATAAGTACTTGGTTGAAAACTTCAAATGCTTCAACATGCAAACAGAAGAAATACTATCTAGAATACAATCTAGAAATATAGTATACTATACCCTTCAACATCTGCTAAAGTCAAAGTGTCTGCCTCGCAACACCAAGATAAAAAATAGACTAATAGACTGAAATGGTTGGGGCATATTGAAAGAATGTCAGATGACAGAGAAGTAAAAACTGTATATACAAGGGAGATGAATGGTCGTAGACAACGAGGCAGAAGATTGAGGGATAATGTCCAGACAGACCTGCAAACATTTGGTGTCCCCAACTCGAACGAGAAGGCCAACAAGAGAGATGAATGCAGGCGGGTGATATCTGCAGCAATGAACCTCAAGGGCTCGGAATGTTGACGAAGAAGTAGACAATCGCCACTGGTCTCGCATTTGCAAAAGATAACATCAAAAAGACAACTAAAAGTCATATGTGGGACCAGATAAAACGTAATGACCATATACCAGTGAACAATCTTATAATCATAGTCAACAGCAAACTTCTGGACCAATATGGAGGACTAGGCAAAATAAAATGTTTTTGCTTCCCACAGTGCTTTGCTCATGCAGTTTCCACGTATGGACAGAAGTATACGGTTTCGCTGCCTGAGCTACTGAGTTTAGTGCTTAATGCAGCATAATGGACTGTGTTTTTCATGTGGAATGCCTTTCATTTTTACTTCAGCTGAGTCATGGTATTAAAAATGGTCAGTGGCCTGTTTACATATGGGCTGGTGAAATATAAACGATATATATAAACGGATTTCGTATATCACCCGCCTCCAAACTATTTTGGCACGACAAACTGTATCTCTGTTCGGATGGTTGGCTTTGGCACCTTTAGCAACTACATTTTGCATTTACTGATTGCACATATCTCTGGATTTGAGTTGAGTTGAGTCAAGAACTGACATCACAGCACTCGGGGCATTCCCATGCGTGCTCCGTCCTCATCATCAGCAGCGAGCGCAGAGTTCCAATACTGATGATACCGGTCACAATCTGATTATATGTCCGTCTTGCCTTTTCTCTGAGTGTAGTGAGCCGGCCAGACCCCATGGTTACGCCCAGGTACCTCACTCTCTCCAGGTCTTAATAATCTTGTTTCTCTTCCAATTATGTTTCTTGTTCCTAAAGCAATTCACCACCCAATGGTGCCGATCAAGCCAATCTGTCTGCCTGTTCATTACGCCGCCATTGCCTGGAGAAAAGAACCAAAGTATGCTCACTACCCATGACCTTTCAAGTGAAGCTTGCCACTCTGCTCAAAACATCCCTGTCTTCACCTTTCTCAGCATGCTTTCGGTTACAATTATGACATGTGTATGCATTTTGTTCTCTAGCCACCGGAGAGCTGCAGTTACCGCCTTCACTTCTGTTCTCATGCTAAATATTGTGATGTCGTATGCTAGGCTGTCTTACACTAAAGATTTTCCATTGGCTTTCGCTACGAACCCCCAGGCACTTCTCTCTCCTCTCAACACCGAACCATCTGTATAGATAATCAGATCACTTGGGCAGGAATTGTCGAGAATCAACTGTTGAACTTCCACCTCCGTAGCACCCGCTGGCCACTATATGCAACCCCGGCCCAATGTGATCATAAGCTAACACAGGTCGGACTTTTCCTCTGATACTTTGACTGCATATCTCTGGATTTTGCCAGGAGTAATAGTTTATTCTGACCCCCAGGTTGACCCAGCTTTGAGTGGGTACAGTCCCGGGAAAGTAAAGGCGGCCGGTGTGATGCTGACCACATCACCCATCTTGTGACGATTGGTCTTTAAAAATATAGGTCTCGCCCTATATGCCCTATACGCCTGATGGCGTTTAAAATGGTCCTTCTTTATTAATAGTTTATTCGCCAGTTGTTGTTTTTTTCCCGCAGATAGGATAGGGAGAGACATTCCATTTGATTTGGGGCTATTTGAGGGGATGTCTTGTATGTCGTGAAAGGCGTCTAATTATGGTTGTTTCGTTCCAAGTCGGAGTCCATTTGCCTGAGAGGTGATAAACCAACAGTCTGCATTTAAATAAGCAAAGTCTGTAAAACAGATGTGCACGCAAAACTCAAATTCTGAAACAAGACCCGCGTGCAGAAATGGACGAGCAGACAGAACATTTTGCTGGAGTTTACAGCTGGTGAACGTTAAGAATAAGATGAAAAGCTATCATGGTCACTAGAGCTAGAGCTCTTTGCGGTTCTCTCTGTGATGCTGGAAACATCACGTAAGCTTGTCCAGCAGACGGACATGTGAAGGAGAATAACACAGCAACGGTCCTCTACGCCCTAAGAAAAGACACTTCTAGTGTTTAAAATATCCTGGAAAAAACAGACTACCTCCGTGAACATGGAAAATTATACCGAATAATTGACAAAAGATATAAACTAAAGGCAAAACAGTTTAACGGCGAGAAGGAAAGCTACTCACAGAGAGTGAAGCAGCTGCACTAAAGGCCTGAAACTGTGGTAAATACATTTCATAGAGATTCTTGAGCAACTTTGAGCAAAAGTCCCAGACGGGATACATTGTACATTTACAAAATGCAACATGTA